TAGCGGTGCACGACGCTCTTCCGATCTCGACTTGCTGCTCGGGGGGCGCGCAGGGCGGCGCAGGCCTCCCCGCACAGGCGGCTCTCTACGGTCACCCGGTCTACGGTTACTCGGCGGCAGCGGCGGCAGCCGCACTGGCGGGCCAGCACCCTGCGCTTTCCTACTCCTATCCTCAGATGCAAGGCGCGCACCCCGCGCACCCTGCCGACCCCATCAAGCTGGGTGCCGGCACCTTTCAGCTGGACCAGTGGCTGCGCGCGTCCACCGCGGGCATGATCCTGCCCAAGATGCCAGACTTCAGCTGTGAGTACCTGCGCAGCACCCGGGCACTTCTCGCATCCTCCTTTCCCGCACCCCCTTCCCTTCTGCCTCGGCTCTCAGCGATCTGTGCAAGTGCAGGGAAGCCGCCACGGCTCATCCCTGGGCCTGTGAGAGCCTCGCGTGGGCCGCGCGGCGTGAGAGGACCAGCGAATTATTAAGATGGCCACGCTCAGGCCTTGCTTTCTCTTTCTCTCTTAATGGGCAGGGGAGGTTAGAGATGTGAGACTGAAACCTAATGATTAACTTACAGGTTAGAGAAGGAAGTGCACAGGAAGGCTAGCAAAAGAGGACCTAGCCAAAGATGGGGCAGGTTTTAGGGTCATTGAAACCTGGTACTTATCACGGGGAACATGAACTTGGTCAGGGGCTCCATAATTGGCTACGAAAAGACACATCACTGGATCCAGTAGCTAAGGAGAAAATGGACTCCTAGAGTCGCGGGGCTACAAGACCAGGGACCAAGCTCTTCTCTGTTCCTTGTCAGGACTCTGCCTTCCTCTGAAGGGCCAAGGTATGTGTGGTGTGTGTGTGTGTGTGTGTGTGTGTGTGTGTGTGTGTGTGTGCGTGTGTGTGTGCGCGCGCGCGCGTATGTAGTGGGGTCCCTACATACAGTGTCCAAGACGTCTGTTATAAACAGAAGGTCGCAGGGACTCTAAATAGCAAGTCTTCTCCTGGGAATTTCAGGTGTCCAACACCCTTGGGAGCACCTTCCAAGGTGGAAGCAAAGGTCCAGCCTACTGCGAAATCTCTGCCACCAAAGAGGGACAACCTTTTAGGGGTCACTTCAGACATCCCTGGCACACGCTGCAGCAGCATGTGTGTAGGGCACTCTGGCTCTGACTCTTGCCCTGTGCCCCACATGGGTAGGGGCAAGCTGCCTTTCCATTCAGGCCAGAACAGAAGATGTATATGACTTTCCCCTGTCAGCCACCCAACACCCAAACAAAGAGACCCCATTGTTTCCGTCTGAGTGAGTTTGTTTAGACTGGGGAGATGCAGGCACTGGGAGGAAAAAGCAAAAAAGAAAACAGAAATAAACACTTGCCAGAATTCAGATTCCTCTGCTAGAAGCAATGGTTGTGACTAAACAGAGAGAGTAAGGACCCCAGAGAAGTGCAGAAGTAGCGAGATGGTGAGAGAATCCCTGCCAGCACACTTATTTGCTCAGAGCCACCCAGGTTTTTCCCAGCTTGGCTCCAAGAAGGCCAGCCTTGTTGATCTCGGCAAAGAGGGAAGGCAAGGCTTCCATTAACCTCAGTTGGTGGGGGGGGGGGGGGGGGGGGGGCGGCAGCTCAGTTGTCTTAGAAATTGTACCTATCCTGAAAGTCCTGGGCAGGATCTAAGCCTGGGTGGTGCATAGCCTACAGCTTCAAATGGAAACCTACCCACACAGGTCCATTATGGCTGTGTGAGATGCATAGGTGCCCAGAGAGGAGCTGGTCACTGGCCACCAACAGACCTCTGTGACTTTGGGTTTCCTGATCACTCAAGTGCTCTCTGCGGGGGCGGGGGGGAAGGATGTTTTCATGGAGCCCAGGGTCACTCAGAATTCCTACAAGTTGAACCCCTTTGTCAGCACACCCAACCCCATAATATCTCATGGTTGCTACATTAAAAGGATGGTCACTTCTACATTAGGAAAAGAATCCAAACCTCAGGCTGCAGACAGGCAATAAGGAATGCAGCAGAGGGTGGCTGAATGTGTTCTATTCCTGGACTTCCCTCTCACCTGGGAAAACAGACTTGGTTTTCTTTAATTGGTTGTTTCTACCCACTACATGGCATTTCCAATGATCCCTTCTGAGCCAGTGTTTTAATTAGAGTTCTAATGTATTATCAAGTTGGGAATTTGTAGCCCTGTTTAACTAAAGCAGGGGGCGTGGACTTTCCTATAAAGCAAATTGCCCATCCCAGGGGAGCCTGAGCTCATCCCAGCCAGGGGCTGGCCTCTTTCTTTCCTTTGCTTTCTTTCTTTTATTGTCTAACACTCTTTGGACTCCTGGGAAATCAAGGGAAGTCTCGTTTTGAGGTCATAAAATTCTCTGTGATGTAACCGTGCGAAATTATGTAAATAAAGCTGGACAAATCTCCTGGAACACACAGAAAGCCAGATCCACTCTCAGCTCAGCCTTTAATTTGAGTAATGAGAATCGTCGGAACAGGCTTCCGTTCCCTTTGCCCTCTGCTCTAGGAGGAGGAGGGAGCTTGTCAAGACCGACGTGGAGACACCCTAATGATATGCTTATTTAGGCTCCAGCTCTGGTCTTAAACATCTCTCTCTCTCTCTCTCTCTCTCTCTCTCTCTCTCTCTCTCTCTCT